CCTGTGACAGCCAGTTCAGAATCAGGTATATCTGCTCAAATTGATCATAAGGCTTTTCTCAAGGGAAGAGCCAGGAATAGCATGAAGGCACCTTTGATGATTAAGGATCGTATCTCATTTCATAGTATGAAGGCAAATATTCGAATACACGGTCCACAGAATCAGGAGAATAGAAATAATTCAAGGCCAGATGAAGAGAATCATCATGAGTGGGGTTCTGCAGTGAGGACACCTAGGGATGGTGCAAGAGAAGTTGACGAAGAGACTGGTATTTACAGATGGGTCTCAGGATGCACCTCATCCGATGAAGAAAAACGTGATGTTAACGTTAGTAAAAGTTTGATTTGCTCTGGCAATTCAAAAAATTTCAATTGCTCAACTGAAATTCAAGAGCATATAAGATCATCTGATGCAAATGATAACCATATCACTTTCTGTTCGAGTACTAAAATATCAGGCGAAAGTGAAAATATGACATCTATCAAAGGCGAATCAGTCAAGATGGATCCAAAAGTGACTGATAATATTAATGACGGCTTTCTGTTGCATGAATCATCTGAGTTTTTAATGACAAAACCTACAAAAGTTTTGTTCAGGGATCAGAGTAAATCTGTTACTGTATTTGATCTGAATGAAGATATCAACACAAACGAGTTAGATGATGGTGAGCAGTCTGTTGTTGAAACTATATCTTCTCATAATGTTATACATGTTGTAGCAAAAGCTGGGGTTCCTAGGGGTAGACCTTTAATCCCACTGAAGTTTGAAGGTGGGTTAGGTTGGAAGGGTTCTGCTGCAACTAGTGCTTTCCGTCCTGCTTTTCTTTCTCAAAGTTTCGATAAGAACCCATTTTCTACGAATTTCACAGGGATTGACCTCAATGTTGCTGCTGTAGAAGATATTCCCGAGATTGGATTTCAAATGGAGGATGTGTGGAAACCCTCAGAGTCCCCTTTTCAAGACTCTTATTCAGAAGTTGATTCCAGAAGAGCAGAGAGGCTCGACATTGATCTCAATTGCCTTTGTGATGATGTGGACGAGTCCCCTCAATCTTCTCTTCCAGCTGAATCGAGAAGTCCCCGTTTGGCAGATTTGGACCTGAATGCTGATACATCGGCCGGAAACGCATGCAATAATGTTGGCTGGCAAGGGCAAGGTAGCCAACCCTTGGAAAGCAAGGCAATGTTTTCTGTGAATTCCAAAGAACACGATGTTAATTTTTCTACACCCACTTACTTGCCTGATTTGGGTTCTGTGAATGTTTTCAATCATTCTCATGCCTATTCACACATGATGGCTGCACCAAATGTCCTAAAACAATTTGAGGAGATGCACAGAGTTTCTCCACTGCAACCAAAGTTACCATACCCATTACATATGTTACCACTTCAGAATTACCCTTCTCATGGTCCATTATACATTGCCCCTACGAAGCCCTTTATGTTCAATATTCACTACCCCAGAACCATACCCTGTGTGAGAGATCCTCAATTGTCGAAGCCTGAAACTGTTCCTGCCTCTCTTGGGATCCCACGTCTCGTAGAGGTTGCTCATGGACAGAGCCGTGGTGACATTACAAGTTCTATACGCAGAATTGATGTCAAAAGTGAGAACGACTCATCAACAAGCGTAAGCAAGAGGGATAAAGCAGGGGAATTTACATTGCCTGCCAAAAATTCATCAATGGATGAAAATGATCAATCTGTCAATCAAGAAGCATGTTATGCAAAGCTGATGAAAAGGAAAGAGCCAGAGGGAGGACGGGACTGTTACCATGTTGGTCACAGGCAGGTGACTTGAAGCAGGGCTTCCTAATCTAACTGGCCATCATGTTTAGGATGTTCCTGCCAGAGTATACTTAAGCTTCTTCAATAGTTAACTAATCAAATGCATGCATTGATTCAGTCTTCTACTCTCCTTGAGGAGGTTATATGAACTCTGAATTTCCCCAAAGTTTTTGTACCCTGAGCTCCATCAAGTAGTCTTTTCTTGCTGTTTTCTTTATATCTTCCTGTCTATGGATCAAGCTATTAGATTAATGGATAGTTGTATGTCATGTTTCATAATTGATAATACATATAAACTGCATTAGCATTCAGCGCCTACAGTTTATTTTTTATATGGTCAATTCCTATTTGAGAATTCTTTTTCTGTTGATTAAACTTTTCATAGCACTTCTATAATCTTCTACTAATATTTATCAACCTTAAGCATATGTCCTGCATCTCAATGGTTTTTCAGATAGCATTTCTAGCACGACAAATGGTGCATTTCTTTTCAGTTTCTTGAATCTGCATTCTTATATTACTCTTGGATTCATTAACCCCACCATGTTAAATATGGGAAAGAGGGTACGGGGGATGGTGTTCGAGATCTATAAGGGTAAGAATGACACAATCTTGCGGTGGAAGTACTTGAAATTGTTGCGTTAAGTTTGCAGGTTAGAGAAAGTCACTTGCAGCACTTTTGGATAATAGAAAGATAAATGCAGCCGGGCTCATAAGGCATGAAGCTTTGTGTCTTTCTATTTTACACTTTTGACTATTTCTTTTTACAGCCAAACTTTTTAGTCCATGGACTTCGTCTCTGTTCGTCGAACATTAAAAGTTACTTTTCTATTCAATCAAAATCAACATTAATCTCAATTACACATTCACAACTATTACCTATTTCTTAACTACATATTCCATATTCCGTGGGATCCAATACTATTCATCCAAGAAATTTATTAATAATTTTACTCGAACACTCCCTTCATCTTTGGGGTTCAGATATGAAACAGTATGCCTGGATTTGCAAATTCTTGTTAAGCTTGCAAATGGGATTCGTAGTGCTTCTTTTCATGTGGTGCTTTGCACATTTAATCATCCTTCATGTGCAGTTTTGATCACTTTTTCGGCTAGAACTACCTTTTGATTTTTCTATACGTATTACTGTCTGTTCTTTTGGAATTTCAATAGAATCGTGAATATCCACAAAAATAACAGAAATGTTTTACTTTTTTGTAGACCATACAGAGGGCACCACAAAGTTGTCTCTGTAAAACTTTGAAGTTACCCTATCTCATCTTGGGCCAACATTTTGAAAATAAAAGGTAAAAAGGAAAAAGCATCTTAAGGACAATCAGATGCACTAAGATCCTGCTTTTCTTGTATGAAAAGTACTGCCTTTCTTGTCTTTTAAAATACATCAATTTTAGCTTGATTTCTTGCATTGAAACAGACAGGAGATTCTTCTAATGCAGATTTACCATATTTTTCCATTTGTAAATTGATTCCTTGTATCTTGAAAATATGAACATTTTCAAGAATCAAATTGCCAGCAAAAAAGAAAAAAAAGGAAATGAGACTTGTTTGACTATTTGAACTACTTGTGGTGATATTTAAACAGAAGTTAGTACAGGGGTGGACACAGTACTTAATTATAATTAATCAGGGATAATTCTTGATGTACATAAAATTTGGAACTTTCCCATTTGTACATAAATGGATTTGCCAGAAAATTGTCAGAACACTCACATGGGGGTGGGCCCCATGTGAGTAAAATATTGAAAAAAAATACCCCACCCACGCTCCCTGCTGTGAGTATCTATTTTCTTTTTGTTTCCGTTGCTTCTGTAGGTGCAGCAATGTTCTAAAATTTGATATACCTCCCACTCCATGTAAGGATGTGGACACCCCTACGTATATTTTATGTACATGTAGCATTTCCCTTTGTTTTTTGTTGCCACAGAATCCTGTAATTGCCTTGTGAAGGAAGGGCTTGTACACCAAGAGCTATTGGTTGCATTATAAGCAAATAAATTAAGTTCAAGATGTGGTCCCATGTTGTTGGGACGTGACGTGACTAGGCGTACGCTCTCCATTATTGTGCATCCATAAAGGTAAAGCTGTTGTCTCAACTTCCTTGTGTGAGCATTAAGTTAATATGATTTCCAGTTTGATTAAATTCAGTATGTCTAATGATAATTCATGAGAAATTTCCGTTACACAGACATTATTATTATTTTTAATAATCTTGATCAATATGATCTTTGAGTAGACCTCAACATTTCTAACTGAAAAAACCCACAGTTTTGAATTTCTTTTAAAGTTTTTTCTTGTACAAGTGAATAATTGTTGAAACCACCAATAATTCTCCAGTAAAATGGATTAATGGGGCCAAAGTAGGCATTTGCATGTGAATGTGATGCTACAAAACAAAAGAGAAATGGCAAAAGGCTACCATCCATAGATTCCCCACTGCCTTCAACTTTATTATTTATTGATGCTACCTTTCGACTCCATAATCATTAATTAATGCTAATTTTCATTATTTATACTTTTATAGAGGCATATACAATATAATTATGGAGTTGAAAGACTGCTT